CGTCAGTCTGTACATCGACGTGCCTTCTATCTGACAATGTTTCTGTTTATCCCGTCCATCATTGCTTCGTGTCTGCATCTTTGACTTTTCAGACAAAGCGAACAAGTCAAATCCATCTTGGCGCAGACAACGACGTCTCTTTACATTAATTGTTTATCCAACGTCTCTTTTTTTTTTCTCCAAACCTCCGCACGAGCCTGTTTATTTCTGCCCTTCGTGCTGCTGATGACGCAGGTACACCCTCGGACTCGGATAATCCACAACAATCGTGGTGTTTCCAAGCACCTAGCGTTCAGTATGTTTGATGATTGCTACCACCTGCTGCCCCTCCTCCTTTAACACCCCCCCACCCCCTAAAAAAGCAACCTCCCTGCCATGCTCAGTAGTAGTAGTACAGGGTTTTACGGCGCTCGCAACCCCTATGCTCAGTACCGAAGACCTACGTTTGTCAGGGGTCCTTCAACGTCTGTCCTCCCCGTCCCATGGGGTTACAGTACAGACTTGTGCGGGAAAAAATGGAACACCCGAAAGGGGGGGGGGGGATTTTTTTTTGTTTGGGGGGGGGGGGGAAATTTATTTCATAGTGATACATCTCTCCCCTCTCCAGACTCCACTTACAGCCCCCAGCTGTCTAATGAGCCATGCCTTAATATCCTTGTCAGCAGTTTAACCATAACATTTTACTCCACAACAGGCAAATAAACCAGTTTTCCCAAAACGGTGTCGCATTTGATCAAGGAAATTAACAAAGAAACAAATTGTCTAGTTCACAACAAAAGACCACAGTGGATAAGGTTTTTTTTCCCCCACCAAGATAACCAAAGCGTCCACTGTTCACTTCCATACAACGTCCCAAGTTCTATTACGAGACCAATGTTTTACCTACTCCAATTAAGTCCCACGACATACACACACTATTGTGTTCTCTGCGACCTTCCTCTAATTGTTATAATAATGATAATCCTATTCTGTCTACATTTGTTTCCGTTCACATTATTCTCCACCAAATGGTCATGATACATTTCTCCGTTGTTCCATTGTCCACTTCCTCACTTTTCTCCTCCTAGTACATCCTCCACTTCCTCACTTTTCTCCTCCTAGTACATCCTCCACTTCCTCACTTTTCTCCTCCTAGTACATCCTCCACTTCCTCAC